AGGGATTTTAATAGAGAGAAACTTCTTTAGTTTAAGTGCAGCATTGCTATATGGCCCATTTCACCCAATGGGTAAATGAATATTTCATACGCATCGACTTTCACACAGCACTTGGACCCGCTACTATCCAATTCAATAAAACTTGGGTTTCTTTATTTACCTCACTGCAGTGTTGTTATCACAATGACATTGCCACTGTTGCTACTTTTAGTTTCTTAAGAGCAGGGAGAAGTTATGGCTCGAATTTATGGGATTGATTTTCGGAAACCTAGCTTAGGAGAATGCACAGCCGCTTCGAGCTTGTGTTTATGTCAGCATCCGCCAGAGGTTTCACACTGTTCACGCAACAGGATATCGGCCAGTTCAGGAAAAGGCTTGAACTTTATTACAAATGATGTAGTCCTGTTACTAAAATACGATGGAAACAAGAATTGGTTCGATTTTCATACGATAAGAAAAGCGCAAATGTAGTCATGTGGCAAGAAAAGGAATGTTAGTACATCTCTAGCGCGTGAAATAGACAAAAATAAGGAGCTCGCCATTCTTCGCTTGCGAAATGCCAGCCGAGAAGAATGTTGAACGATCGTGTTCGGTGTGGGAACCGAGGCCCCTTAATCGGCATTATTTTTAGCTGAATTCATTGGTTATCTTCCCCTGATTTGACTAGTGGTATGTGTTAGTAAGAGCCGTCTTCGAAGCCGGTACGGAGCATAAGGCCGATGACTTTGAAGAGTAAAATCTTGATCTGGCTAATTCATGTACACTCTGACACAGAGTCTGTCACGTGACCGGTTAATATAAAAGCCACCTGAAGATTATCGTTATGAAGGTTATTCAAGGTCTCTTCACTTCAGAGAACGCCACACTCTTAACTGACAAATTCCAAACGAAATTTTGTCTTTGATGGTGTGTACAGTGGCGGCAGTGGTGTTCCTACTTGCACTTGAGTCATATTTCATTGTAATAACAAACAAATGCTGCGACAAAAATGCGTGCCTACAGTACCATCCACCCCAAATTGTCAGGCCAACGAACCTGATGTCAATCATTCATGACCAAATATAGACATAACATGACATTAGTCAACCCACTCAGTGCAGTACTAGTGAAACAAAGATTTTGATTGATTTACTGACCGCGTGGGTCTGTAGCTGCTCGCTTGTATACATTTCTGTGCACTCATAAACGGATTCAAGACCATTACTCCACAAGATCGCCCCACCTTCGAGGTGGCCTTCTGGTATCGCCCTCAC